CTGCTCGGATGCCTAGTGTTGTCCCTTATTATCAATGCAAAATGGTCACTAACTAAAGAGGATTTATGCTGATATTGCCCAAAAACCCTATTTTGTTCAGGCGTTTCCAAACTTTTGGAGGGCAGTATATATATATATATATATATATATATATATATATATATATATATATATATATATATATATATATATATACACACACACACACTAATCTATATATATAGAAATATGTGTCTATGTACGTCTGTCTAAAATTGTAATTTGTCTGCAGGTGGAGATCTGTATGCTGCTACAGTCAGTAATTTTCAAGGGAATGAGCCCATCATTTACAAAAGCCTTGGTCAGGGCATTACCTTAAAGACAGAAAACTCACTGAACTGGCTTCAAGGTAAGAGCCAGGACTTTCTGTTTTTAGCTCAAAGTCCCCTTATTCCCACCTTCCTCTCTTATTTGGAAAATAAGTGTGTCTTTGTTGGAGATCTGTCTGTTTTAATGCTCAATGTAAATTTTCATATAAGAAAACCAGAATGAAATTAATGACTGAAATGACTGTTTTTTCACTCGGCTAATAAAATAGTTTAATACAGAGGAAATGCAATAGGAAGCAAATATAAATTTTTAAGTGCATTCATGGCTATTTCTACAAAACCAATAGCATGTCAGAAAGGGCAGCCATGGTAGCCGCAGATGGTGGACTATTTTAAAATACTATTTAGTGTGGTTGAAGGTTGTGGATAAAGTCACAGGAACATGCGTTGCATCCAGCTACCACTGAATGGCCGGTTGTCTGTCCATCCCTGCAGACAAAATTTCAGTGGGTGGTTGAATGTTTAAAGACTTCATATGGAATTGTTATTGTAGCCAGCAGTGTCACAAAAAGGATAAATGTTTTTCTTATTAGTGGGGGCAGTCGTGGCCTAATGGTCAGAGAGTAGGACTTGTAACCCGAAGGTGAACCCGAAGGTTGTGGGTTCGATTCTCGCGTCCGGCAGGGATTGTAGGTGGGGGGAGTGAATGACCAGCGCTCTCTGCCACCCTCAATACCACGACTGAGGTGAGACCCTTGAGCAAGGCACTGATCCCCCAACTGCTCCCTGGGTGCCGCAGCTAAAATGGCTGCCCACTGCTCCAGGTGTGTGTTCACGGGTGTGTGTGTGTTCACTACTGTGTGTGTGCGCACTTGGATGGGTTAAATGCAGAGCACAAATTCCGAGTATGGGTCACCATACTTGGCCACAAGTCACTTCACTTCACTTCTTTTACCTGAATTAGAATTGTTAAGGTTCTTCTTCATATTATTATTATTATTAGTATTAGTATTAGTATTAGACACTAAAACGCAATGGGGAGCACAAGACTAAGACACGGGAACACCAAATATTGTCACATGGTGCCCAATTGCTGTCAATACTCAATGAAGTAAGGGGACATGCCCTGGCCTGATGTTGGTGCTATAGAACAGTGTTTTATGTTCCATTTTATCTCAAGAACCACCAGGTCTACAGGCAAAATGATCTTTCCTTGGATTTCTTGCTTTCTGCCAAAGAAAAAAGCCATAGGAATTACTTAGCTTCACCCATATGGATGTCGAGCTAATTTGCATAATATGTGAAACCTATTTTTTCTAACTAATCCTAATTCTTGAGGACACTGTAAATAAAGAGACATACAGTATAAAGTATCAGTATAAATAATCAGCAGAACTGTTGTTTACTACAGTAGAGTAATATTTGTGTTTATTACAGTAATATTTGGGTTTGTTCTTTCCATAGACCCAGCTTTTGTAGGCTCTGCCTTCATCCAGGAGAGCCTCCCAAAAGGCAATGCAGTGGGTGACGATGACAAAATTTACTTCTTCTTTAGTGAAGCAGGGAAAGAGTTTGACTTCTTCGACAACACCATTGTTTCACGTATTGCTCGTGTGTGTAAGGTGAGGAGTGCTTTGTTGGAGTCAATGCACCACAAGCAGAGACACAACCACACACATACTCACTAACTACACTAATGTTGAATTCGACTGTAGGTCGTAACTCGTAGACCTCCAATTATGAAAAACCAAAGAAAATGCCCCCTCAACTCGGAATTTCTACTCTGGAACTCATGATGGTCTCCTCAACTCTAAGTTCACCAAGTGATCAATATGGCTGCGCACAGCATCACAGCAGTAAACAATGTAGCACTTCTTACCTTTAAATGAATTACACAATTATCTGCTTTAGATTAATCGATGTAAAGTCATATTTGCTTGTTAAATCTCTAAAATTAACTACAGTTAGTTGTTGTGAGAAGGAAAATATACATCACTCATCACAGTTAACTGGCTTGCTTGATAGACAAAGATAGAGTGTTTTTTCCATTTTCCCACTCCCCCTTAGTTACACAATTGGAATCTCTTGAAGTGGTATGAGTGGCATGAGTATCTGTGTGATTGTTTCATGTATCACTCTAGCAGTAGAGGTCTGCAGACTTTCATCAGGTTTCAGCTGCTCCTAATACATAAGCACATTCCTCTCATGCTCACTCAATACCTGGGTCTTATCACTCATTTGCAAATATTAGAATGTAGTTCAGAGTTCAGTCCCATCAAAACACTCACATATACTGTATAAGCCACACACTCCCCACAACACTTATCATTTAGCTTTGAGAACGCAAGATGTGACTTGGAGCATTCTCCACACCTCTTGTAGCTCTGTATAATGACCAAAACAAATAATATAGTGTTCAGTAAGGTTAGTGAGTTAAGGTGTTTCATTAAAGGTATAGTGTCTTTGTGGCTGGAAGATGAGCAGACTATATGGATTATCTCACTGGCTTCTCACAGTTTAAAGGCCATTCACTTCCCTTCCTCTACTATATCTCTGTTCTGAGTGTGTGAGTGTGTGTGTGTGTCTGTGTTTGGTTCTACCAGCTGACAAAAACGGGGTGATATCGGCACAGATGAGAAATTGTAGTATTAGTGCCTATGTATTGTACTTATGTTTGGCACACTGTAACGTTTCAGTCCACAGCTCGCTGGCCATCAGCATTGTATAAAAGTGCTCCCATATCCCAGACCTTAAATATTTGGGGGAATCTTCCACTTCCTGCCATTGCTGTTTTTTCTTACTCTAGTATTCTAGTATGCTATTAGGCTGGAGTACTGGCTCATGAAAAACAGTCTTACATATTCTCCTAAAATAAGGAGATTTCTCTCCCTTGAGATAAAGAGGAAAATACTTTTTCAGAGGTAGTGTGGGTTAAGTTTAAATGTTTATTACAGCACATAATATACAGAATATTTTATGATGAATTGCCTATTTTATTATCCAGTCTCAATATGCAGTTTGTGTTGTAATACGCTGTATCATTACATGCCTAGTGACAAAGGCCTGGTTTATACTTTTTTTATGTATACAAAATTCTCATGTGTCTTCATCCTGCAGTGGTGGAGATTTGGATGAAGTCACACAACCTGTTGTGTTGTGCATTCAAGGAACTTACTCCAGAGTTCCAAGTTCCAATCAGGCAGAAAGTGGAGTATATAGTATGAATAAAGTATCCATCCTAACCCTTTGTTGACCTTTTCTGGTATGGTTTATGGATAGGATAGGGCATAATTTTAGGGGTTATATAACTGGCAAAGTTCATACAGACACAAATATATGACAAAGGCGTTTTAATCAGAAGCGGAAAAATACTAGTTATTCATGTTTTACACACTTAGTAGTTCGGTGGGTTCAAAAGCCCAATTTTAATGAGACAATTAAAATAAAATGTAAAGCATTCCATGATTGACGCAATTGTGAATTTAAACTCTAAATTGAAGTGCTTTGATAAAAGAACTGTTGGATACTGCTGAATGCGGACAAGTAAAAACGCTTCAGAAATGCTTGAAAGAATTGATTTGGATTATAGTTGATCGTTTAAGTTTCATTTTCCCCCCAGCCCAAAAACAAAGTTATGCCTGAGTTATCTTTCTGTTTATTCCTACAGTGAAACATGGAAGTTTGCTTTGTTTAAGCTATTTCTTGCGGTCTAAATTCTATAAAGTCTGGTGTGGTTCATGCGACCGTGCCCCCTAGTGGACACCTCACAGAAGTATAAATCGGCCCTAACTGTGAAACCATGACACCATAACAACCATATTCTGGAAAAATTTCTGGAAATAACTTTGATGGTGGATGACATCAGATTAGTTGCTGCTGAGCACACTGTCCACAGGGTATTGTTAACAGTTTCTCCATCAACTACTGCCAAAACATCCATTGCTTTAGAGCCCATTCACAGCGAGGGTCTGTATGTACTCCTGGACTACTGAAGCTCCTTCAGTCAAACAAGTTGAATCTCTGGGACTACAAATCAATCATTGGGAGAATCTTTTAATTCCTTCAGATGTATTTAGTTCATTGAGATGAAGCTTGACTTGCGTGTAATGGGAACCTTCTTGATGGAAGACAGATGCATCTCAATTATGAATGCAGTCAGGAAATTTTGAGGACATTTGTGATGCAGTGAGATGAAGCTCAAGTCTATAGCTAAAAAAGAGAAAATAAAATAAAAGAAATAATAATAATAATAATAATAATAATAATAAACAACTGTGTGGAAGCTTTAGCCTCCCTAATGTTTTAAATAAAAATGTTGTCTTAGATGTTTAAGTTATGACTTAGATTATTGGGTCGGTAAAAGAATTTAAATTTCCAAACATTACTTTTTAAAAAAAAAAAAAAAATTAAATGTTACAGAAAAATGTTTGTATGGCAGTAAAAAAGTAATATATTATGTAATAGACCACTTTTCAGATGAAAAAATGAATGAAAAATTATGGCAGATAAACCTTCCAGCCAGTATTCTCATAAAACTGCACAATATGTACCAGAGACTATAGAACAAGAATCTGAGGCTGTCATGGGAACAGACTCACCAAAATTGGACAGTTGAAGACTGGAAAAAGACTGGGTGATCTCACACACACACACACACACACACACACACACACACACACACACACACACACACACACACACACACACACCTCAACTTCAACTGTTAGTTTGGGTGAGCCTGTGCCCATGATAGCCTCAGATTCCTGTTCTTGGCTGACAGTAGTGGAACCCAATGTGGTCTTCTGCAGTTGTAGCCCATACTCTTCACTGTTCAATGTTTTGTGCATGCTGAGATGGTTTTCTGCTCACCATGGTTATAAAGAGTGATTATTTGAGTTACTATATCCTTCCTGGCAGCTCGAACCAATCTGGCCATTTTCCTCTCACATCTCTTATCAATAAGGTGTTTCCACCCACAGAACTGTCACTCACTCAATGTTTTTCTGTTTTTTGCACAATTCTGTGTAAACTCTAGAGACTGTTGTGTGTAAAGCTCCCAGCGGTTTCTGAAATACTCAAACTAGCCCCTTTAGTACCAACATCCATGCCACGATCAAAGTCACAGAGATCACACTTTTTCTTCATTCTGATGTTTGATGTAAACATTAACATTATCTGAAGCGCTTTACCTGTATCTGCATGATTTTTTGCATTGTGCTGCTGCCACATGATTGGCTGATTGGCTGATAACTGCATGAATGTGCAGTTGTAAAGGTGTTCCTAATAAAGTGGATGGTGAGCATATGTATACACTATATTGCCAAAAGTATTGGGACACCCCTTCAAATCATTGAATTCAGGTGTTCCAATCACTTCCATGGCCACATGTGTATAAAATCAAGCACCTAGGCATGCAGACTGCTTCTACAAATATTTGTGAAAGAATGGGTCGCTCTCAGGAGCTCAGTGAATTCAAGTGTAGTACCGTGATAGGTTGCCACCTGTGCAATAAGTCCATTCATGAAATTTCCTCACTACTAAATATTGGCCTTCAGAATAGCTCAAGAACAGTGCATAGAGAGCTGCGCACCAGTGCACAAAGCAAGGTCCATAAAGACATGGAAGAGCGAGTTTGGTGTGTAGGAACTTGACTGGCCTGCACAGAGTTCTGACCTCAACCCGA